TCTGCAGCTTGCCAGAGTCTCTACTTATAACACCCAGCCCATAAAGATTAAAGTCAAAAGCCAATGCTGGAAGATAATTAGCTCTAACTTACATGCACACAAGTTAAATTTCCTATAGTGAGACACTATTTTAGCCCTGACCTATAGAAAACAGCATGAGTAAAGCCATCAGCTGGAGGGCAAAGAGCAGCCCCCATGAGAGAGTGCTGTGTCCGTACCTGTGAAGCTGTGCGGTTCACTCGGGAGTTTGTGCAGAAGCAGTAATCCAGCGGCTCCTTCGCTCGCCGTTTGCGCTGAAATGCAGCTGTGACACTCGGCTAATAGTCTGACTCTACACACCGAGCGCGAGGGCATTTATACTGCAGGTGGGAGGGGCTGTCTGACACACTCTCATCCCTTTTCCACCCCCTCCGACAACCACCACCAAGCCAGTATTTCCACTCTGCAGCCGCACCAAACATCACTATGATCACGAAAAACTATTTTTCTTCCCTCCTCCTTGTGTTAAACACATGCAGATTATAGTAATTCTATAAAAAGTGAATAACTTCATATGTAAAAAGCCAATTTCTACAAATCCATAATTACACTAAACAACTGAAACAGTCCTAGTCCTCTGAGAGGCTGGTAACATTGCTCATGTCTAAAGTATTTGGGTGGGTAAAACAAGTGAGTGAATGAACACAAGCACCGTCTGAAACAAGGACACAGCGTGAAATCTGTGTTTAATTTTGAAACTATTAACTTTGACACCAAAAAACAACACATCTTCAAACTATTTTGGGAGTATAAGCAGAATGTACTTTTCCTGTTAATTATACTGGTTACAAAACCAGCTAGTGAGGTGAATGATAGATCATTTTCATACTCTTACAAAATCTTTTTTGTCAGCTTTTTTTTTTTACTCATTTCTCTACCTTCCATTTCCCAGATTAAGTCATCTGAAACGCAATTAAACAGAACATCACATTTACTGTCAGTGTGTCTCGTATCCTGGAATCTTTTCAAGGCTAATGGACACGTTCAGAGGAACAAGTCTCCGCTTTGCTTCAGGGATATGGCGTTATCTCTGATAAAATAGTCAACCACAGCCCTCTTAAGCTGGAAACCACAACTGGCAAAGCTGCCATTAAACGTATCCCATGTCTATCGTGTTCAAATGGGGAAATTGCTTCATTACCAGAAAGAACATTTCGCTGCATTGAAAGAAAAATAAAATTAGAGACATGTGGGTGAAGACGATGTCAGAGAGGGTCATCAAGCAGATGTCGATTACAAGCCCCCAGGGGGTGAATATTTTAAAGGCAAAAGAAATGCTGCTAGGATTACTTGGTCCTATCAGTCTTGTTATGCAGACCTTCCAAGCAACGGTTGACCTGTGCCTGGTGAGGTTATATCTGAACTATGTGTGTTGATTTCTTCTTATGTTCTTCATGTTTTGCACAGGCAGTATTGACCTTCACATGTTTGAATTTATCGGATTGAGTGTCTAAAATGCCTGGCAATAATATAACTGGAGCATTAGACCTAAGCAGGCGTGACAGAGCTATGATTTAAAAGCTCAGTTAAGCTCAAATGAGACATCGATCCTTTGGAATGCAAATAGATTACGTATGACTTTCAAATCTGATCAATCAGCTGCCGACACTGTTCGCATCACTCATTTTAGAACCGTTGGAATTTCCTGCTATTGTTTAATCTGCTTAGTGACAGACAAACATGGCTGTTTATTAAAGAACATGACACTCATGGGTTACATTACAGGCAGCGGGTGTTGACTGTTTGGTAATGCTAATTGATGCTATGCGAAAAGACCTCACTATGCACTTCAGTACTTTATCCTTTTATGGACTGATTGAGAGATTGCACAACAGCCTAACGGCACCATTGGGGTTGTTGTTTGTGACTCAGTCCGTATATGGATATTGTTTGCTAAGTCAGTTTGCAGTGAGTGTGAAAAATAATTAGTCATGTTCAAGGAATGTGGATGTTCAGGTGAGACCCCCTGCATTAAAGGTGTGTTATCTTGTTGTCTTTTCTTTGGCGTGAGGGTGTTTGATTCTGTGGAAATGCGTACACCTAAAATTAAGACCTACAGTATCTTTTCCCTGCCACAAGATTCCCGGTACAACGGATGCACGTTTTGATGATGGCTGGCGACAAATAAGGGAGGAAAAGACTGGGCTTGTCAGGCAACAGCGAGCTTCAAAAGAAACTCTAGAGATTTGGACAGACTACCTTGGTTCAAAACCCATATTTCAACCTTGAAGTTCAAATAACTAGCAAACAATATATGACTCAGAGTCACATTGAGGTAGAAGCACATGCTTCTACCTCAGGGGGTTGAGTAGGGTGTGACATACAGATTAGTTCCTATTAATCAGTACATTGGAATCTCTGAAAATTATCTTTGTATCTTCAATCGTGGTGCATTTATGTCCGATGAGTTTGATTAAAATTGCTTTAATCTGTGGTGTTAAATTCATAGTTTGGCCAATAATGTGTTCATTTGCCCCAAATGTAATCAGTCAGCCAAGACAACTATGAGGTCCAACATTCAATTTTGCACTGGAGTCACCAGTTCGCATTGTGCTAACTTCATACCTAAATTATCAAACACTTGCCTCAAACCATTAATCTCAAATGGACTTGGTTCTGACCCTACATGACTGTTACCTAAAGGTTCACATAACTAAAAAAGGTAATAGCAGCCATGCTTAAAATTTGTCATTTTTTATAGATGACAGAATATCATACAACATCAGAAACCACTTTAGCAAGTCTATTTGAGACTACTTCACAACTTTGAGGCAAATGTTTTTATTATGCTAACTGGTGGCTATAAACTTTTACTTGTTAGCTGCATTTGCCTCGTAGCTGTAGTGGAACTAAAAAAGACGCTTCTTTGGACTACTTAACATTTCTTGGCTGATCACATTTAAGGTGCATGGAAAATTGTGTCATTTTTTATATCTGAGTTGTCTCTTTAATAGAATAAATACTTGCACTGACCTCAGAGATATCGGTCACAAATCTTTACCTGACCTGATTATAGTACAACTACAATACTAAGAACATTTCAAATGGAAAAAAAGAGAAGCTGGAGTTCTCACAGTTTTTGCCTTCTGCCAAATGTTCAACCACTGATTGTTTTGTTTCAATCACATCAATTTGCTTCTTTTGTCAGTTAGGTTAATTTGACAGGAACTTTTTTTTTCTACAAAACCTCTAGACTTCCCAGCCTAAAACTACATGACAAAAAAACGTGTTGTGCAACTATTAAACCATAAAGTAGATCATTCCTATTGCATCAGAAAACAAGAGGACAGGAAAGAGAGCTATGACAGACATATTGCTCGGATGTATTGTTCATATGGAAACAAAGATGACAGGCTAAGACATGCCAGTCTCAGGTCCTGGAAGGTCAGAGCTCTGCAGTGTATAGTATCCACCCTCCTCTAACATACTCAGTTCTACTGGTGAAGAACTTGGTAATGGGCTTATGTAAGGTGACCATATTTTGGTTTTCTAAAAAGAGGACACACGGAGCAGGAGGGCGGCTGAGGAACGCAAAGCCAAATCCTGGCCATTTTAGGCAATTTAGATACTCATTCAGTGATTTGTTTTGCTAAGTTCAGTGGGTGGCTGACTCTTCAGATGCAGCCTAACTCTTAATACAAATTGTTCTTCATGGGTTCTTGGTAAAGTTCTGTAAAGAACCTTGAACACTCAAAGAACGATTTGCAAGCTTAAATGGTTCTTTGTATGGTGAAATCGTTCTCCAGAATGATGGAAAATGTGTTGTATGTGGTTCTATATTGTTACAGCGTCAAGCTAGTCACTATACAAGAACCTTTTTTGGTGCTATATAGAGCCATTTTCAAATTGTGTGTGTATATATATATATACACACACACACAACACATTCTCAAACAAGCTGAATAACCATTACCAAATGCAAATGCACATAGTTCTTTGAGTGCTCATGGCTGTACATAGAACCATTGTCTTTACCAAAGAGCCCTTGAAGAACCATCTTTTTTAAGAGTGCAAGGTATGTCAGTTCAACTGCAGAACCTAATCTTCTCAGGTGCACCTTTCTGAAACAATGGTTCCTACTTTGAGGGTAATCTGAACCAGTCATGCCCATTCTTTAAATACAGTTATACAAGTTAGTTCCGGCCACGCTGTTATTTCACCATAACATCGCGGGTTTTTCACAAACACTGTATCACTCCGCTGAGACGCCGTTGCTAAGCAACAACTTTGACAGCTGTAGGAGACGCTCAAGCCATTTGAACGTTTTTACTTCTTACTTTGCCACAAACAGAAAATGGACACTTTTAAGATCACATTTGACCGACAGCCGATTTGGTCAGACTCTGAAGATGAGACGACACTACATTCCCAAAATGTCAGTTGGTCTGTGTGGAGCTGGAGAACGAACTGCCGGCTGTGCAGCGAGTGGGCGGAGCTCGTTACTCTGACGTAGAAACGAGCTGCTCGTTAAGGAACTATAATTTGGCGGAAGGAACTGCGAACATTAAAACATATTAAACGCCGCGTTCACGGCCCAGTTTATTAATTTATTACTTTATTTATTTAACTGTTGTATAAAAGCGATAGAACACTCGAGGTCGTGTGTTATCGCCAATAACATCACGGCTGTGATGGTCTGCGACCGAATCACAGCCATGATGTTATTTCGCGATAACACACTCCCTCTCGCGTTCTGTTGCTCAAATGGTTTGACTTGAATAGAAATAAGCAGTTTACGCTTCATAACAGATGTTAATATGAAAATGCTTTTCGCGTCCGGGAATGGGATCGTTTTTGTTACCGGGAGAGACAAACAAAATCCAGAAAAATCCTAGACAAAAAGTGCGAAGCCTATTTGCCCCCCGGACTAAATGCTATCCCATTAAAAATAGTACAGCCCGGGGTTCCATTAACAAACTCCACACAGGCCCACGCCCATGCAGCAGCAGGAGCAGCTTGGAATTGCGCGCATGCGCCCTGGCGACGTTTGTGTCAAACATGGCTGTGCTTTTGAAGAAAGAAAAATGCTGAATTGTGGTGGAAGATTTCGAAAAAAGAGGCAAGCATGGCAAGGTTGGCTGATTACTTCATTGTCGTAGGATACGACCAGGAAAAAACGGGTACGTTTCCGCGCCTTATTCGTCCCCTCAGGAGCTGAGAGTTCATGTTGGGGTTTGTTGAGGCCGTCAGCTCTGCCCTGGCAGCGTTAGCGAGCTAAGCTAGCTACCTGAGATTTGTTCCAGCCAACATGAGCTGTGCAGAGCTGGTTTCGGGGGCTTCGTGAGACGAAAACAAAGTCCCGACGAGGCTAATTTGTATCAGCGAAGGCTCGAATGATTATTATGAATGAAATGTGTCCGTTGGAAGGCAAGTTAGCAGCCTGTCACGTCCTGTTCTCCTGTTCTGTGTTTGTGTGTATCCCGGTCAGCTTCTTCATGTGACGTGTTTGGCTCAGTGAGGAGGCTGACAAGAGGATTTAATGGAAGGCTGGTTTTGATTTCGGTGTTTTTTTTCAGGGCATGTGAGGTTCAGAGAGGACAACGGAATGACTACCAGACTACTAATACCTTTATTCTAAATACTGTAGGGATAACAACAGGCACTGCATCCCAGTCTAGGTCCTGAACGTGGCCCTGATTTGGGAATTAACGTTGCATTCTAGCTGTGTGTGCAGATACATGTGCTTACAATGGTCTTCATGCCTGTTTAAAAGACAACTTGTCTGGCCACTTAGGCAGTTGATGTTTGTGTTAATGTCCAGTTAAGTACTCTCATTGATTTTTTTAATGGATAATGCACAGGGATCTGTGTGTCATTGATTTTTCTGTCTGTTCAGGCCATGTAGCTTGAACAGATTGGGGAAAGCCCAGCTTTGGTTTCAGTGCTGGAGCCTGGGCTGCATGGGAAGGGCTGAGTGTGGATCGAATAAGGAGAGAGAGAGAGAGCTTCCTTTGTTGTGGAAAGCGGATGCACAGCCCCAACCAAGAGGAAACAGGCGTGATTATGAGTGCTGGAGTGGTGCTGAGCTCCCAGGTGGTGCAGAGAAACCTCGGCTGGCTTTGCGTTTTTGCTTATCATAAGCTGGAATATTCCCCTGTCATGGTACCCGAAGGTGTTCTAGGTATAGTTACAGTGGCTCCACAAAGTATTTGGACATTTGGGATTGGGATTTGAATGGGATTTATTTTAAACCGTTCCATAATTGCAATTAGCTTTCTTTTTTTTTTCTCTCTCTCTTAAGCAGTTTTGGTGCACACCTTGCGTCCAGAATGCGATCTGAATTCATGATGCTATCAATGTTCACACAATTGCCAGCACCATTCTAAGAAAATGCCCCCAGATTTTCCCATATCCATGCTTTACAGCAACATTAGTGCAGTTTGGTTGGAATTCTTCTCCAGGCTTTCTCCACATGAAGAATGTATCATCAGTTTGTTGTTTTCTCTGAAACAAATGTGACTATGTTAAACATTTTATGAAGATTTTAAAAAGAAATTTTAGTTTGCCAAAAATTTTGTGTCAAGTAGTTAAAGTTATAGCTGCATGTATGTTGCTCGTGTGCCGAAAGGTGTTTTGTTATGGTAGTAGGACAGCAAGGCTTTCCATGAATGCTGAACATCCTAACGTCATTTCTTTTCACACACAGGCCCCAAACTGTGGATTGTTGTGGAAACCTGTTACTCCTCCTCCTCTTAACTCTATTGTCTGCGTTATGCAAGTCATGTCGTAGAGTATTTATGACCATCTTGTTATTCCAGACTCCGCAGTCCTGTTGATAATGTGGAGCAATTTGTTATCACTTCATGGAAAATCTGGTGTGAGGTTTGGATTAGAAGCAGAAGGAGTGCTGCAGATTCCATTTTCAGGCTTTGTTTCTTCGGGATGCGCAGCAACCGAAAGAAGCGACAATGGCCCTCTCAGCCTTTGCTGTGAGGCACGAAGCTCAGTCTTCTCAATCGCTTCACTGTTGCTCCTCGGAGAGGCACGTCTTTCGGGTAAACATTGATCAGCCTTTACTGGGAGTGTAGTGAGTGGGCCAGTGGTCCTGGCCTCTGTCCAGAGCTCTGACTTAAAGGCCCGACACAGCTGAGTCCCTGGTGTGAGTTGCGGCAGTGGCTCGCATGAATAGGTAAATAGTGTCCCCCCATCGTGAGCTTGCAGATGCTGCCAAGGGACAAATGACTTTCTTGTGCAGGGGGAACAAAATGTTCCTGGCATCTGTGGAGTTTGCACTGGATTCAGGCATCTCGCTCGCATAGCAGCACTGCCGGAACCATTAGAGAAAGATAATAAATGGACGCGAGGCTTCGTCCAGCTAGAGCCTGTTTTCTCTTGGTTTTTCAGTCGTATGTCGCTGTCGAGGCAAATCCCCGGAGAGCAGCTCTTCCTCCCCTCTGAGTTACACGGTTTATTTTTCCTGCTCGTTCTCATCTACTGTTATTGACGGCAGTGACGTTGTTGCCTGCCGCCATTTGAACTCCGATCAGCAGCACAGCGTCCACATCCGCTCGTCGCAGTGCTGCTTGGAATGTTCATAACGAGGCCCGGAAGTGCATAGCATTCTGAATGTGAGAAGACTGAATATAATTTCCTCACTGTAATACAAAATGGAAAGACTTGGCTGCCCGTGATGAGGTGTGGGTTGACTAGTGGTCAGGTTATGTCTGCTCTGCCATTTCTAAATTAGAGCTGCATGGTTTTGAACAACAGAGGTAATGATTATTTTGCGATATTGTTACTGTGATTATCAGGGCAGGGTGTGATTAGCAGTTCACATTACCAGGTTGAAGTGGCGCAGATCCAATTTTCTTGCCCTAATGTGCCTGTAATGTTCATTTACTTGTTACCACCTGAAGTTATTTTTCTTTAAGTAGATCTGACGAGCCACTTTTTACAGTGTAGTGGCATTGACGTGCACTGTTACTCTCTTTGGATGAGCAAGAAGCTTCACACATTCCTACAGTGAAAAAGAACTACAGAACAACTGTCATATTTTAATATAGACATAAAAGGTTATGCCAGCTGTAAACAATGGTGCTGTGCAAAGAGCAGTTCATTAGCGTGCTTTTTAGGTGGCCAAAACCAGCTGAAACAGGCGTATCACCAGAAAAGAAAAGAATGGCAACAATCCACCTTTATCCCAAAAGACCAGTGTCTCAATTGATCCATAAACTTTTATATGTTTGTGTTTGGAGGGTATACGAAAGTGCAGTCTTGGACACTTCGGTATGTTTCTCCGTAGGTGTACTGTTACCCTTTATTGGCTGTAAATTTGCTCCCTGGCACATGCTGCACTATAAATCGCAATTTGTTAAGTGAAAGAGTGGAATTTGGTCTACCGCTTGCATTTGACCAAGATCGTGACCCTTTGACGCGGAAGGTGAGCCTCAGTGTTCAGGACTGAACGCCTGTTATTTGAGTGCAAGTATGAAAAATGAATTACGTAACTTTAGACTGGCTCTGAAACTCTGCATATGCTAAGAACAGAAAGCTATAAAATGCTTCCATATGCTGGTGCCTGTGTTTTTTTTTAACATAATCTTATTGTCATTGAGCGGTAAACTCTTGGGAATTTAGCCATGCGAGAGCCTTTTCAGTAACAGACTCCCTTTTTTTCGATTTTTCTGTGCTTGCTCTTGCAGAATTTGACTCTTGGCTGTATCGCTGGATGAGGGATGTTTTCTTGGCTCGTCCTCTCGGTGTAGTTTAATAGATGGCCGTTGCTTTTAAAAAAATTATTTGTCTGCACGTTGCAGTGTAAAACGTAGACTGTTTTACAAAAAATGTCTGGAAAATTGCTGTTATGCAAGATTAATAAACTGTCAATAACATTTTTCCCTCAATAATTTTTAAAAATGTTTTAAAAACTCGGTCTTGGCCTTGTATTTTACCATTTTTTAAATCATTTGTTACGTTTGTATTTGTCAGAATAACTGCGCTTATCATGATTGAAGTTGGCTTTGTCTGGATTTTTCGGGACATGCTGGGGTAGTATTTCCAACAGCTGAGAGGTGCTGACAGACTATTTGTCTGAGTCAGTTTTCCTGCATGCAGAGTGAACTGAAGTAGGTGGGATGACTGCGGTGGGCCTAATGATTAGCTCTGCATTAACGGTAATATGAAAGGTACCACATGTGCTTCCGTACCAATTAAGAAACACACTGTAATCAGTTAACTACTTCTTCTTTAGGAGCTCATGACAGTGCAAGGGCTACACATTTTAACATACACCGATCAGGCAGAACATTATTACGCTCATTGTCCACTTTATCAGCTCCACTTACTATATAGGTGCACTTTGTAGTTCTACAGTTACAGACTGTAGTCCATCTGTTTCTCTGCATACTTTGTTAGCCCCCTTTTACCCTGTTCTTCAGTGGTCAGGCCCCCCATGGACCCTCACAGAGCAGGTGCTATTTGGGTGGTGGGTCATTCTTAGCACTGCAGTAACACTGACGTGGTGGTGGAGGTGTGTTAGTGTGTGTTGTGCTGGTACGAGAGGATCAGACACAGCAGTGCTGCTGGAGTTTTTAAACACTGTGTCCACTCACTGTCCACTCTATTAGACGCTCCTACCTTGTCAGTCCACCTTGTAGATGTAAAGTCAGAGACGATAGCTCATCTGCTGCTGCACAGTTTGTGTTGGTCATCCTCTAGTCCTTCATCAGTGGTCACAGGACGCTGCCCACAGGACACTGTTGGCTGGATATTTTTGGTTGGTGGACTATTCTCAGTCCAGCAGTGACACTGAGGGTTTAAAACTCCAGCAGCACTGTGTCTGATCCACTCAGACCAGCGCAACACACACTAACACACCACCACCACGTCAGTGTTACTGCAGTGCTGAGATGATCCACCACCCAAATAGTACCTGCTCGTTGAGGGTCCATGGGGGTCCTGACCACTGAAGAACAGGGTAAAAGGGGGCTAACAAAGTATGCAGAGAAACAGATGGACTACAGTCTGTAACTGTAGAACTACTAAGTGCACTACTAAGTATAGTAAGTGGAGCTGATAAAATGGACAATGAGCGTAGAAACAAGGATCAGTGCCTGATCGGTGTAAATCGGCAGGTATGAAAGATATTGACGCACAGTTCCCATATCGGTGAATCCCTGCG